ATCCCATAAGTGAAATTGAGGGGGGGTGGGGGGTTGCTTCTTGGATAACTTTCCCTGTGAGAAGTCTTCTCTGGACTCACTAATATAATTACTATTTTTCTGCTCTCATAATCCTATGAGGCAGCCATACACTGAGCAGGTACATGGAAATTCTCTCATGTTTTTCTGCTGTAAATAGTTGTGTCACCTTGGCTCCGAAATAGACTCTGAAAATGTTCCTGGTGTTTTTGGTTTGTATTTGACAAAACAGGAACATTCATTCACATATCTCACTTAAAACGTGATATCTGACAGTCCTAGCTTTAACTTTTCACATTTCATGTCACAGCCAAGAGGAACAAAACCCTTGAACTAAGAGACTGTCAAGATCTTTGATGCATTTAGTATGCTCGAGGGCTGAACCAAGCTGGACCCAAGCATGTGTGCTGGGCCAGATTTCTTTTTGGCTCTGATAAACTCAGACTTTGGCAGACGTGTGTAAAGATTTCCTGGACTCCAGACAGCCCCAATCTGCAGTAATACACAAAGTGTATGGGCATCTGCAATGGGTGTTGTGTGTATGTGCCTGTGTGGCAGGGATGTCAGACAATAAACCCAGCTCTGTGTGCCAGGCTCCCTGTAAATAAGAAGCCATGGGGTGATGGATGGGCTTGAGAAGGCCTGGAGCAGAATGGATGGGGTAGGCTCTATGTGGCTGACATGCAGAGAGCTGGCTGGAGCCATGAGGATGGCATTGTGCAGATAAATGAGATTTGACTTCCCTGCTGGGTCTCTTTCCATCTGTTTTTCTGTTTCTGGAGGCAAATGCTGGGAAGGTTCATAAACAATCTGCCAAGAGACCTTCCCATTTCTAAAAGCCCAATCCCAGCTTTATAGGGTCTCCCAAAGCAGACAGGTAATATTTGCCCTTCTCTTTTCCTCTCCAGGGCAAAAGTAATAACATTTTTATTCTTTCCAACATTTCCTGCACACTAGATTTGTAAAGAGTTTCAATTGTTTTTGCAGTTGTCCCAGACATCCTTGGGATGACAGAACAGCTCTCTGTTCACAGATCTTCAGTCCTTTTGTGTTCCTTTTCAGAGCCACCCTGCTTTTTAGGTTTCCTGCTTCCATCATCACCATTCCTCCCTATCTTGCCTTTCATACTTACTGGACTCCAAAGTTTCTTTGTCCCTCCTGACTGTGATGCAAGACATTTCCTCTCTGCAGATATTCAGGCTACCTGAACACCCGCTCCACTCTGCCCTTTGAAACCTCTGATTCCTTTACCTGTTCTGTTCTCTCTCACTTTTGCTATCCCCAGAGAGCAATCCAGAACAGAAAGGGCCAAATTCAGTAATATACCAATTGTATTAGTGGCAGGAGAGACAGGACATAAGGATTCAGGCTTGCAAGGCATTAAGTAGTAGTTGTGGCTATCCCCTGTGCCTTCACAAAGCCTCTCCCTGGGGCAATTTGTATTCAGTGACCATTTGAAACTTGATTCACTCAACATTAGTTGTAGGGCTGGAGCTGGGGCTCCTCTCACCCATCAGCTCCGGCTGACAGCCTGTGCTCTACTCTGCTGATGAGGACAGAAGTCATCTGTTCACACAGCACAGCCCAGGGCTGTGAGCTGCCTGAGTCCCTGCTGAGCTCCAGCACCCCGGTTTTGGTCGATGCTGGACACCTTCAAGTCAATACATGCCCCTAGCCACAGCTGTGCCACTTTCTCCTGAGCCTAGCCCAGCCTGCCCTGAGAGCTTCCCAACACAGCATCTGCCAGGGACAGGTCAGCCCAGCAAGTCACTGCTTTGAAGGGTAAGAGGGGCCCATGAATGAATATGCAGTACCCTCTGCTCTGCTTCCCTCTGGGACTTCACAGTGTGGCTGACGCCGCCACCACAGGCGACCTGCTACCAAACAGAGTCCACTCTACCCAATAAAGACACTAAAACAGCAATGAGCCTGAGATTCACATCCAGGATACAGTTGCTTGCTGTCAGCATGGCAGAGAAGACTCTTCAGTTGCATGTGCAATGCCAGGTGACAAATGGGACACAATCAATAGGAAAGGTTATTGCTCACCCAGCTGGAAAGTACTCGCCAGTGTTACAGGGAAGAATGGGGCAGATTTGCCCTGAGCTTCGCTGGGAGGGAGACATGGATGTGTCTCGACTGGCAAAACAGTTAGGCTGTGCTTTCAACATTTTTCCTTGCATGACACTCTCACTTTGACCCATATGTATAGAATTAATGCCTCCTTCTTCAAGGGAGAGGACATGGGAATACAAAAACACTTCGATTAAACCCTCCAGCTGACGGAAAACTTCAGGTGTGAATTAGATAAGTGCCACTTAAATTCTGTGTGATCAGTTACTAGTTGCAATAAGCCATTAACTGATGCCAAGTTGATCTAATTCAGAAATGACACCTCACTTTTATCAACAGAGGAAGAACAGACAGCAAGCCGCGGGTACGCAGGGGCTCGGTGCATGGCAGCGCACGGCTCTGTAAACACAATGACTCCGTGGGAAAAGCTTCCGTCGCCCCTCGGCATCTCTAGCTCGGAGCCGGGACGTACCCCCGGGGCCCCGAGAGAGGGACGGTGCCTCTGTCCGAGGCGACTTTGCTTCCCAGAGCGATCTGAGGAGGAAGCGTGCAGGAGTGACCGGCAGTGGCGGTGGCACGTGAGCCCCAGAGCCCGCACCGCGCATCCCCGCGAGGCACACGGCGAGGGCACGGAGGCGAGCCGCGTGGAGAACCGCGGCGGGACCCGTAGAGTCCGGAGCCCGCTGCCCAGCACGGGTGACAATAGGTCTGGCCGAAGGCACCGCACCCCGGCACCGGCGCTGTCCGAGCTCTCTGCCCGCCCGCACCGCTGAGCGATGCCGCCGTAACCGGAGCTCCGCGCGCATCCCGACGGCGGCGGGACCGGGGATCCCCGTCAGTCCGTGTCTTTGTCTCCGCCGGGGCGCACGGAAAGTGGGAAGGTGTTCCCCACTCCTCCCCAGTCCCTGCGACAGCAGAGGGGAATGAACTCGGCGGAGCATCCACCGCTGGCCCCGGGGCGGGGTGAGCCGGGCGCGGGCAGCGCTGCCTACCTGTCCGAAGGTCCCGGTCTGGCGGAGCCCGGCAGGCAGGGCAGCGCAGAGCTGTGCGAGCGGCGGAGGGGAGGCAGGTCTGCGGGGGGCAAGGGGTGTTCAAACCCAAAGGAGAGGAGGAGGAGGAGGAAGAGGAGGAGGAGACAGGGGGAAGGCAGTGGGGGAATGTGGAGAGGAATCGGGGACATTGGGAATCCCGGGGGACTGGGGTGCATGGTGCCGGAGGAGGTGGGGCTGGGAGGGGCGGAGGGGCTCCGGGCGTGCGGGGGTCACGGGAGGAGTGCAGGGGCATGCCAGGGAGCGTGTGCGGGGCTGCCCGGCGCTAAGGAGGAGGTGCGAGAGCGCAGGATGCTGGTGGCAGCAGCGGTCCCTGCCCCGGGCACGGACGGGACAGACAAAGGCCGGAGACAAAGGCGTGGCAGCCCGGGGAGGCGGGGAGCGGGTGAGCCGGTGAGCCCCGCACACCTGCGCGGTGGGGCGGGCTCCGCTCTCCCGCGGGCTTCCCCCGCGTTATGGTCCCGGGGAGGGAGAGCCGCTGGTGGCTCAGCGTGCCCCGCTCCCTGCACCGAGCCCGCGGCCCCGCCGTGCCGGGGGAGCTGAGGAGGCGCCGGGACCCCGCGGGGGCAGCGGGACCGGCCCCGCGCCCGCTCCTCCCGCCCGCCGGGGGGCGCTCGCCGCCCCGCCCTGACGTCATCCGCAGGCGCTGCCATCGCCTCCCGCGCTGGGCGGGCGTGAGGGGCGGCCGGCCCGGTAGGGAGCGGGGACACGGCGGTGCGAGAGGGAACACCCGGAGCATGACAGCGGGGCGGGGAGGAGCACTGGGCGGACACGGGCTCGGGGGGAGACACGGGGGCAGGTGGCCGTGCTGAGGCGGTGCCCTGGGCGGCAGTGGGGGCGGCGGGCCGTGCGAGCAGCCCTGTTTCGGGAGGGAGCCCCGGCGAACGGGCGGTTCCTAGGCTCGGGAATGCTGAGGAGGGGCAGTGCCGTGCCCCGTTTCGGGAGGGAGCCCCGGCGAACGGGCGGTTCCTAGGCTCGGGAATGCTGAGGAGGGGCAGTGCCGTGAGGGCAGTGCCGTGAGGGTGGGACCTCGGGGGTCTGTCCCGTCCGCCCGCCCTCCCGCTCGCGCGGGTGAGGCACCGCAGTGGGCGAGGAGCGGCGGCGGCTGGAGCCCGGGCACGGCACGGCACGGCTCGGCACTGCTGGGGCAGCCTGTGCGGGCTGCTCTGGGCTGCTGCGGGAGCTCTGGTGACCGGCACGGGCAGGGCGGTGGGTTATACTTCCATGACATGCCCCATCCCCGGAAATGTGCAAGGCCAGGCTGGATGGAGTTTGTAGCAGCTTGGGATAGTGGAGGGTGGCCCTGCCTCTGGCAGGGTGTTACAGTAAGATGAGCTTTAAGGTCCCTTCCAACCCAGGCTGTTCTGTGATTCCATGATCTCCCAGCCTGCACAGTCCTTGAGCATGTAGTGTCTAGTTCCTACTTTGTGACTGTGTGGAAGGGTGGATCCCTTGGGTTGCTCGGGCATCTCTTGAAGAAGGAATGAAGTTTAAGGGAGGATGTGAACCTAAACCTCTAAAAACACAGATTGTTTGTGATACTCTGTAGATCTTTTGTACTAATTTGGGAACCACTGTGGCTGGGGTGCTAAATGAGAGATGCTTAACTGTCTTAAGTTTATTTAGTGTAGCAGATCACTAATATTCCAGGAAGTCCTTGTATACAGTGATATAAAAGGTTATATATCTGTTATATGTATATATATACACACACACACATATCTCTATCTATCTATCTATCTATATATATATATATACATATATCTGTTTTAAAAACTGGGGATGAAAGTAGCTCCTGTTTTGTGCAGGTCAAACTAATTCTTCATAGGTCTGAAAAACATGTTTTGTTGCAGCTAAAACAGCTTGAAAATCAGTGTCTAAAGAGCTTATTGGAACATCTGTGGTTTGTCAAAAGTCTTTGTAGAACACCTGAGTTACTGGTGGAGCCAGAGTGCTCCAGAGGCATTTAAAGACCTCTGCAGCTCATGAATGGTGCTGCTGTTAGTGGTTAGAATTTGTTAGCTTGCAGAGAGTGTGGATAAAATAATTAAACAAAACAAAGTTTCTAACAGATAATTATGTACACCGTGACTTAAATTATGTAAGGCATGGAGTCTGCTATGCAGGGAAAGCTGTTGAGAAGCTGAACTCCAGCATCTGCTGTTCAGTTGTTGGCACATGAGAGTCAGTTTGTCACAATAATGTGCTGCCCTTTGTTGCTCACAAATTTAAGGCTCCCCAGGGATGTAGTCACAGCCCAAGCCTGTCAGAGTTCAAGGGGCAGCTGAATGATGCTCTAAGTCACATAGTTTAGTTTTAGGTGGTCCTGTGAGGAGCAGGGAGTTGAACTCCATGATCCTTATAGGTGCCTTCCAACCTGAGGAATTCCATAATCCTGTGTCACAAAGTTGACTTAATTATGCAGCTCTGCAGGGTTTGGGTTCCTTGGGACTGCAGAGAGCAACTCAGAAGTTGTTGGCAGTGGCAGCAGATGAGAACCTGTGTCAGTGGAAGATGTCAGTGGCTCCAAGCTTGGACAAGCAATGGTTTGTGGTGGTGTCAGAATAAACCCAAAACCCTGAGAAGTTCTTGTGTTATAGTAAGAGATAGGGCTTAGAAAAGGCAAGTACTATGAAGCTTTAAAAAAGCTTTCTTGTGTTACTAAAAAGTATTTGTCTGAACTTTCCTGTATCCCAGAAATGGAGAGAGACTGAAAACCCCAGTAATTAAATTATGAATAATCTCTCATCCTGAGGTGTGAGCACTGGTTTGTGCACTGCTGGTAATCCCTGAGGACAGGCTGGGCTTATGGGGGTGCTCACAGGGTCTTCTGGTGTACAGCTCCATGAGCAGACTAGATGAATAATACAGGAGCCAGAGCATAACCATTCCTTTTGTGGTTACTTCCAGGGTCTGGGGAAGATGACCACTCTCACACGGCAGGACCTCAACTTTGGGCAAGGTAATGTGTTGTACTAAGGTGCAGTTGGTGTCCTTGTGAGGCTCCTCTTGGTACTGAGCTTGGGGGAGTCTTGTAGGGCTGCTCTGTCCCTAAACTTTCTGCAGCTAAGAGGAGGCAGGTGAAATTTATGCAGAAAAAAATAACCTGTAAAAAAAGGTCCCCTGAGTCTATGGTATTGCTCTACTTTCCCACACCTTATTCCAGCATCCTTTACTTCTGTTTTTCAGTTGTTGCAGATGTTCTTTCAGAATTCCTGGAAGTGGCTGTTCACCTCATCTTGTATGTCAGAGAAGTTTACCCCATTGGGATCTTTCAGAAGAGGAAAAAATACAATGTACCTGTCCAGGTAGGAGATTTTCCTGGAAGCTGATAGCCACGTGGACAAGCAAAATAGCAAGGATCAATCAACACTCACCAGAAAAAACTTACACTCAGCAAGTGATTGTTTAATGTTCTTATTTTTGAGGACTTTTTGATGGACTTATTTTTGAGGAGATCTTAGTTCCTGTCATAAGAGAGAACAGCCCCATAGCTGAGGATACAGCAAGTGCTCCTGGGACAAGCAGGATACTGTTATAATGGATAACAGTAGTAGAAGGCTGCCCCAGCTCTGTGCAGTGAGGTAACAGGAGAGCATGTTTACTAGAAAGCAGAGATGATTGGAATATGCTGTTCCCAATATGCTGGTTTGGGTGTACATTGCAGATATACACCAACTGTATGGGTGCAGTGATCTGCCTCAGCTGATTAACCCTTCCCTGAAGGAATTGTTGATTTGAATGGGCAACTCAGCATTTTTCAGCACTATTTGAAGCATGATTTGAATGCCTTGTACACACTGGTGCTTCTATTTAAATCTTCCCTTCCCTTTTAGCATTGTCCTGGCTCATGTCAAACACAGCTCTGACTCTTCTCTGTGTTTGCTGCAGATGTCCTGCCACCCAGAGCTGAACCAGTACATCCAGGACACGCTGCACTGTGTAAAGCCACTGCTGGAGAAGGTGAGCTCAGACTGGGGACCTGGGCAAAAGTACTGCAGGTGGATTTAATAGAAAGTAAGAGAACATAAATATTATCTTAACTGCAACATTTGTTTACAGATGTACCATACACAATATACTAGCTGATAAAAGCTCCTAACAAAACTAAAAACATCATAACATTTCCTGGCAGTTAAGACCCTGCCTTGCTTGTCTCATGTACCACACAAGGACACATGTCTGTATATTTCCAGTTATACCATTCTGCTTTACAATCCACCTGAGTTTAAGCACCTGCTGTGGCAGAACAGTTTGAATGCTTTGCTGTGAACCAGGAAGCAAAGGTAGGCCTGGACTCCAGGTTTTGCAAGAGAAAGGTGTGACCAATGAAATATTCCAGGAGGCTGCTGGCAGGTTTTGTATGCCTTGCTCTTTACAGACAATTTTAATGCACATGTAGAAAATGGAATTAGGTCTGTTCTAAATTGTGGTTGTACAAAGCTGCTCTGTTTGGACAATGGTCTGAATGTATCTTAACTTCATCAGTGTCCATCCCAGAGTGATGCAATGAGATGGCTGGGCATTTCCTCCTTTGTTCCAAAACAGAATCTGGAGCAATTTACAATTTAGGACACTTCCTCTCCCTCAGCCACAAGCTGGCAGCTTAACATCCAGCAAGAAATGGCTTTGCAAAAGCATTTTTTTTCTGATTGCTAAGAATAATCTGAAGTTAGGTTTGGATAAGGGCTTGCGCTGTAAGCCCCAACAACTGAGTGTACTCCATTGCATCAAAGAAGGTGAAGCACACTGTGAGCAGCGACAGCTCATATTAAGGAAGGGATTTTTCTGTCTTGGTTCCTGCAGAACGATGTGGAGAAAGTTGTGGTTGTAATTCTGGATAAAGAGCACCACCCCGTGGAGAGATTTGTCTTTGAGATCACCCAGCCACCTCTTCTTTCCATTAGGTGAGGTTTCCACTCCTGTTTGCCCATGGCATCCAACACCCAGCCCTAGGAGATATTCTGGGAGCAACTTCAGACCTTTGCTGCATGCCAGTAACAACTTCTGTCTCCTCCACAGTTCTGAGTCCCTGCTGTCCCACGTGGAGCAGTTACTGCGTGCCTTCATCCTGAAAATCAGCGTGTGCGATGCTGTGCTGGACAACAACCCTCCAGGTAAATGTCACTTGGATCCAAACAGCCTCATGCCTGGCATTGGTGGCTTGGCTGACCCTCTGGGAGCTGTCCCCTGAGCTGGAACCTGACACTTCTCTTAGGTTGCACCTTCACAGTTCTGGTTCACACACGGGAGGCTGCCACACGCAACATGGAAAAGATCCAGGTGATAAAGGTGAGTGATATCCTTGGGCATCTGATTGTGTGTGAGAAGCTGCATAGCAAAGACTGGGCAGTGCAGTTTTTGGCATCTTTAAGGTTAAGGCTGAGAGATATTTTGAACATGTAGGTTGGTGTCCCATGAGGCACATCATAACTGTACTTGAAATGTGGTGAAATGGTTTATGCTGGTGAGCTGACAGCACATTTGCCACACACAGCCACCACTGCAGATGACTTCAAGTCTTGAAATAGATTGTAACAATATTTACTGTCCAGTGCATGCTCAGACACTTGGAAATACTCAGACATGTAGAACAGGTACTTGAATTTAATCAAGCAAAAAAGCAGCCCTCACCCACCATCCACTGTGTGGTGGCTGATTTTGTATAAAGAGCAAGAAAGACTAAGATTAAAGTAAAGAGCAGGTTTGAGGGCACAAATACATTGTACAGGAAACTGTGTGCAGAACACTTTCTAAAGGAAGATTATTTTTAAAGAATCCTTTCCTAGATACAGGGAACCTTTTTTCCTGAGTCAAGTTATTTTAGGTGTCATAAGGCACAACAAATTAAGCTAGCAAAGTATAGAATTGTTTCAAAATGAAAATCTGTTCTGCACTGCTTAGTAGTGGAAACTTGTGGTGTAGTGGACCCACCTTTAGACCCAAGGCAGGATGGAAACCCATGCCCTAAGCATTCTGGAGTTGCAGTTAAATCTTGGTGTAATAAACTGGGCATAGTAGCTCAGGACAGCTGAGAGTGTATTTTTAAAAGAAGTGAGATGTCACCTTTGCAGTAAGTGAAGAGGGTTGACCTCACAGTTTGATGCTGTAACTGAAGACAATTACGCTGAGCGTCAGGGACAAGCGTGTGTTTTGTTGTTGTGGAAGGTTTGAATTGCCTGTTCCTTCCCTCAGCCACTCTGTCTCTCTTTCAACTTAACACAAAACAAGTGCTGAGGAGGAGCTCACCTTACAGCACTGCTGGGTTCTGCCACTAACACCTTGTGTTCCTGCCCCCAGGATTTCCCTTGGATCCTTGCTGATGAGCAAGATGTGCACATGCACGACCCCCGGCTTATTCCCTTGAAAACCATGACATCTGACATCTTAAAGGTGAGCAGAGCATTCTGACCAAGAGGTGCTGAACCTGCTGTAGTTCTGAGCTTTGAATGCTCTGACATCAGCTCTGCAGTTTTCTGTGGTGTAACAACTTTAAAACATACTGCTGAGCAGTAGCTTAGTCTTGCAGATGTCTGTGCCAGTAATCAAAGCAGGGCAAGACTCCTCATAGTAAAATAGGAAACCTGGTTATGGGGGAAGGTATAAGCACTTCCTATTCAGCCTGTTGCAGGCTTTTTTTTTTTTTTTTCCATTCACCTGCCTGTATACTAACAGGACTGCTGCTTGTTTCTCTCTCCAGATGCAGCTCTATGTAGAAGAGCGAGCTCACAAAGGCACCTGATTTCAAATCTTCCTTGCCTTCAAGCTTCATCTGATCTTCCAGTGGAGTAAGATCTGTCAGAAACTGTATCTTGATAACCATCTCTTCAGCTGGCCTTCTGGGTGAATGTAGAGCAGCTGCTGCCTCTTTATTTCAAGTGCTCTTACCACTGTATAAAGAACTGACTTGGAATGGGGAGCCAGAGCCTGTTCCTATCCTGACTTGTGTGAGAGTACAGGTGTTGATACAGTGCATCCCTGGGGAGTCAGTACTTTATTACCAGTCCAGCTCTCACCTGAAAAGGGCAGATCCATTGCACACAGGCAGTAATAGACAGCTAGGAGCTGTCACACAGTCCATAAGAGCAACATTTGTGCTAAGGGGGAGCGAGGCCTTATGTACTGTCTGTCCACTGTGACCATCCCAAGTAGTCTTCAATAAATACCGACTTTTACCCCAGTTGAACTGGGCTGAGTTCTGTCAAAACCAGGCTCCCTTCTTCAGTGAAGAAGTATTTTTTATTTTCTATGGAGCTTCCACTGCTTTTCTGGCTTGTATGTGGACTCTGTCAATTCCTATGAAAGGCTGTACAACCTTGGTCTCTCCCCTTTCACTCAGAGGTGGCATTAGCAATGTGGAATTTGTCTGTCCAGCAAGGACATCTGCTGAGTATCCTACTCCTAACTGAGAATAAGCAAGGAAAGCACTAATAATCCCACACCTGTGAGAGGAGATGGAACATGGCCTTAACATTAGTTCTGGGTATGTAAGGGTGGGAGACACAGTTCAAACAAGCTGGGCTTATTTGTCAGAGAATTTGGTACACTAGCCTGTCCAGCACCTCCTCCTTCTTCCAAGTAACAAGTGTAGGAACAGATCAAGTATGGGCACTGCTTTAATATTTTATATTGGGTTACACTGCTCAGTATAAATCAAAGGTGATGTGGGAATAGCCCAGCACAATCAAAAGGCACTTTGTTGTTAGGCAGCTGCCTAAAGGGACTTATTCCTCTTTCTGTACCTGTTTATTCAAACACCAAGGGACTGTTTTGGATAGGAAGGTAGGTGCCATTTTGATCACAAACACTTAAAGGATAAGGAATTCACTACAGTGACACAGCACTTAGGAACAAGGAGTGACAGTTTCCTGATGCTATGAAGGGTCTGATGCAGATCATTAATCTTAATGGAATATTAAAGCTGAAACAGGAAAGAAAATACCATACAAAACAATCTGCTTGTAGAAAGCACTGATAATCTGAAATTAAGCATTTTAGCCTTATCTATCCTACATTCCATAAACAAGAAAGTGTCTTTAAGACTTTGTGTGTTAGCATAAGAATATATTAACTAGAAAGGATAGATCTCACATCTAATTGTCCCAGTTCTTCTCTGGAAGGGCACCAATAATTGGAGTAGCATCCATGGTAGAAGAGAATGGAAGATGAAGACAGAACACCATTCCAAAGGGCTGGGCCTGCTGAAGTTCTACTGTGAACAAGAGCTGCAAGACAAAGCTAGGACACTCCCAGACAGCACAGGCAGACAGTGCAGCTGGGGCCACTTGGCTACAGTCCTGAGGTAAAAGCAAACCCTTCCACAGTGCTTCACATCCCAATGGTGATGCTGCTGTTTGTCACACGGACCCCATACCATCCTGCCCAGAACTGGGTGTCCTGGCCTCCGTGCTGGAACCAGATGTAACGAACTCCTGCTGGGTAATCCCGGAAGGTGTGAGAAATCTGGACAGAAAAGAGAATTCCTCTTAATTTGCCTAAATAAACCAGTGTTCACCTAGAAGCTCAGAAAACTACAGCGTGTGAGTCTTAGAGCGAGCTCTTCCTGAGTCTAGAGAGCTTTCATTGAAAGTGCACCATACCCTGTTTTTTGGGGGATGAAGGGGTGGCAGGGGGAAGAAAGAAGCCTTTCTCCCCTAAGTCCTATCTGAGTTAAGCTAACATTAAGCTTGATTTTTAAGTGCATGTATAAGTAACATCTAATGCAGAATGTACAGCAAATCAAACCAGTTAAACACCTGTAACTGTTTAAGAAAAGCTAAGTCTGCAATACTTGGATATCCATGCAGTAGTTTTAAAACAGTTTTTTGACCCTGAAATCTGCTCTTGTTATTTAATTATTTAAACAGAATCTTACATAAAACCAAGAAACAATTAAAAAGACTTCATTAAAACAACACAGAAGCCCACAGGATACTCTATAGAAAATGCTGGGCACCTAAAAATAGTATCTGACTCATTCAGGACACTACTGCTTCTTCAGCATCATCAGTAGCAAGCACTGACTCACCTTCTCTACCGAGCAGAGGAGGCTGAAGAGCAGAGAAAGTCCACTGGCACTTTTGGCCAAGTAAGACTTGCAAGACACAAGTGTCACAACACTGCTGTAAAGCTCCTGCCTCCCTGGCTGCTGCTCACCTCTCTCCACTTGGCATCACTCCACTGCTCAATGACCACTGGCTCGGGATGGAATTCCTCCAGGACGTCGCGGTTTTTGGAGAGCAGCTGCACGGTGAGCTCGTAGCGGCACCCGCAGTCAAACCTGGCAGCGTACCTGGAGAGGCAGGAGGAATCAAGGAGCAGGGCTGTATATACAGCATTCAGTTTTCTTTATTTTTCAAAAGCAGTCTCCAAGGGGATCCCTGTCTGCAGAGGAAAAGGAGTGAAGGAGTGTCATCCCCATAGCTATAGAGAATTTGTAGAACTTACAGCTATCCCACCCTTCACAGGATTGCCACCATGTAGTCCATTGAGTGAGTTTAGATTTAGCTTATTCTTCCTCAAGAACTACAACTCCCAAAGAATAAAAAACTGACTTTATGTCATGAAAAGCTCCAGAAGCCTAGCTTACCTCTAGACCAATGCCAGAAATTCTAATTTTCAGTGCTTCCACTCACCAGTCCTTGACTGTAATTTCAGGCCGTTTCTCATCCATCAGCTGATTCCAATAGCCTTCTTTTTCCAGGGTAATGAGTTGAGACTTGAAACATGGCCTGAAACAGACACAGAAATACTCACAGTTCTACAGAACACTTCTCTCTTGCTGTACTTTTCCTGACAGCTTTAATACCCACCCAGATCCTGAAGGCCCACAAAGCTGACCTGGCTAAACCCTGCCTTATCCATAGTCAGAACCTGACAAGAAAATGAACTGAATTAGCTTCACCCCAAGATAAAAAGAATAGTTACCTACAAGCTGGATTAAGAGGGGTCTCTGTATTGATGTATTGGTAACAAGAAACCAGTGACTTGTAAAAGCTGTTGCTCCTCCTCTGGTGACAGCTTTTATTACAAATTGTTTATGTGACACACCTACCACTCCTGAAGGTTACAGAGTTTTGACCTTGTCATGTCAGTACAGTTGACTGAGTTTCCCAGACCCTTAACCTTTCTCTACCACCTTTGGGAGAGGAGAAGCAGGGATCCCATGTGGATTATCCTAACTATAAACATCACAGGAAGTTCCTGGTAGGCAGAGAAATTTAGCACCTGCTGTGATCAATTCTCTCAGCAGTACCCATCTCTTTAGATTAATTGGCATAAAGGGTTAATGAAGCTCCTTCCTTTTCCCATAGGTGATCTAAGGTTCAGTAACCTGCCACCAGCCTTCTAACCATGGTGCCTTTTCAGACAGATGGGAGGAAGCAGCTTTCCCAGTTCCAGATTACTGGAATCCAGTCCTTACCCATATGAAGTGACAAAGTATTTGTGTACTCTGGGGTCTGGCATATCATTTCCATGAGCTCCAGGCAGATCCTCAATTTTCCACTTATCTCCTTCATTGTCATCAAGTCTCCAGTGCTGGAAGTTCTCTAAAAACACAGGTATCAAGGTGAGGGGTAGGACCTCACTTCAGCTCCCAGCAGGATCTCAGCTTTTGTTAGAATCAGCAACAGAAGAATTCTAGGAAGCTACTTGATGTGTTCAGATCCACTGTATTTTTCCTACAGCTGTAAGTGACTCCTGTCATTATGCTGCCATTACCTTTATGTGGCTGGCAGCATCTAGGACAGCAGGTAGCAGATTTCTGACCTCATCAGAAAATCAGCAGCAGCAATAAAGCAGGATGACTGTAGTTATATTAGTCAAGTCTTTGGTAACAAAAGTTCTCCAGCTGCCCAAATGTTTGATCCCAGTATCTGATCGTTTCACTACCACACTGTACTTGCAGTGCAAATTGTCACTGCCTGCCATATTGGAACCTTTTGACTCCAGATTTTTCTGGCTAAAACCACAAAGTATTGGTAAATACATACCTATCTACCTACAGCAGTCTTACTGCAGGAGTCGAGCTGTGGATCTGACCTAGCAGAGCTACGCCCACCAGCTGGACAGTCCCACAGCACCAGCAGCAGCTGAGGCATGCAGGATACTGACTCATTCGGACTGCTCGGAAACCCTTAGTCCTTTATTATAAATAACGAAACAAACCTTCAGCACAAGAGTTTTTGATTAAGTTTCTCTTCAAGAGGCAGAGCACATAGAATGTCTTCCAGTCAGAGATGCTTCTCTCCAAGCTCTGACGATAAAACCCGTCGCGCTGGCACTTGCGCTTCCAGAGCGTGGTCAGGTCCACCACGTACCGCCACTGCGAGCACACCAGCCGGCAGGTGCGGAGCAGGTCCCGGGCGGGCAGCAGCGACAGCAGCTCCACCAGCACGTCCTCGGGGAGGTCTCCGATGCTTGTCATGGCAGAGCGCGGGCCGCAGGAGGGCGACGGGAGATCCCCGGCACGGCGGGCCGAGCTGCCGGAAGCAAAGGCGGTTTCCCCTCGCGACTAACAGCCTCCCGGCCAGCCCGCCCGGCCCCAGGCCCGCTCCCCGCCGAACCCACCCCGGCCCGGGCCCCACCTGGCTCCGCCCATCTGCGCCTCCGGACGCGGATGTGGGGCCGCGGGGCGGGGCTGGGTCGGGGCGGGGCCGCGTGTGGGCGGAATGG